ACATATTATACAAGCAAAAGGCAATTCTTCATCGCTTTCATCACTACTTTCGATAAGAAATTCGCTTTTATCTTGTCTAATTTTTCCTTGCATTTCTTCCCATTCTCTTTCTAATTGCCATCCAGATTTCTAATCACCCCTATAATGCAAGAATTTACATGAATCACCATAACCACAATAGCCAGTTTCTAAAATTGAAATTAAAATTAAACAAAAATAAGAAAAAAAAATTTTTTTCAAACATTTACCTTTATAATCTTTACATATATCTGGTTGATAATCAAATCGTAAAGTGACACGAATTGGACCAGCCCTATAATAAAAATTAATTATTTAAATTGGATAAGAAAAATGATTATTTAAATTGGATATTCAAATTGAATAATAAAAATGAATTATTCAAATTGGATAAAGACGAGATATTTTATATGAAATTAGATAAATACGACATATTTTATATCAAATATGATACATACTTTATTTTTGAACTTGCGACATTTCCTGCAGCGGTATCACGTTTTTTTATATATGCTTTTATAAGCATTTTGACCTTTATAAAGATCGTCTTCATCATCCTGAAAGGAAAAGAAATATAGGGTTAATTACTAAAATATATATTAATATAATTGGTCAAGTGGAAAAATAGAACAAACTTCTTCGGCAGCTAGTTTCTTTTCTAACAATGCTTGCGCATCACGATCAGTTTTCGTATTCCATTCGGCCTTTCGTGTAGCGATTTCCTGAAATATTGACGATATGGCAGACTTACTTGCGGAAAAGGCGATATTAATATCATTTGTGTGTTTTCCTTTTTTTTGTACCTTGTACAAAAGGATGTGAAGGATCTAATTTACGTTCTTTTTTTATTACTGCTGAACCTTCAGCAATTTCTGAGGATGCATCAGGCGAGAGTGATTTCTTGCGTTTACACTTTGCTTGAAGAAAGTAACATTTGTTGTATCTTCGGTCAAAGGAGTAATTGAATCATCAGACATTTTTTTATATATTGGTGTTAGAATTAGAATTATTAAGGTTTTACCTGTAATAAAATTTATCTTAACGAACTTCATTTCATGCCGTGACAACGTGACAAGGAAATTTCATCGATAGCAGGAGTACCGAAAAATTAATTGCAATTAAATTATCGTTATTATAACTAAAAATTGTTAAAAAAAAGCAATTGCAATGAATTTCAAATTTTGCTTTTACCATAAAGTTTGCTATAATATAATATAAGGTCTTCGATTTCAAAATACTCTATTTTGAAATCGAAAAAAATTAACCGCACCTAGATTTAAAATGTACGTAACGCTTCACTCAGTGAAACCAATTTAAAAATGAAATTTAGAGCGTTATTTCGCAAAGAAATGTAAATTGTGCAGGTCATAAAAAGAAATAATTTGATACCTTGATTTTTTTTTTTTTTTTTTCAATTATTTCGTACCTATAAGATTTTTTTACAATTTTTGACGTCAAAGATCGGCGTGCGTACGTACTTTTTTCCCTAACATCTAAATATATTACAATTGAGCTTTCATATTTATATTCGTCAAGACTTTAGTTTCACGGGTCCCAAAAATGTGCGCTCCAACAAATATTTTAGCAACATTTTCAATTATATACTTATTTTATTTAATGTTAACCATGTAAAAACTTTTTTTTATTGGATTTTTGAACATATATACATTAAATAAAAGGCTCTCTGAGTTATAAAGCTAATTACGTAATAAAAAAACTCAAGATAAACTTAAAAAGATATAAAAAATATAAAATTAGAGTAAATAAAAAAACGCAAGATTTATAAACCATTATCGTTATCTCAAAAAAAAACTTTACCGTTACTAATTTTCGGAACTATATATAATATTCTAAAGCACAATCTTGTATAAATTTTTGGTATGCCGTAGGAATTTCGAACCCTGATATAAAATTAAAAAAAATAAAAGATTAATAAACCATTTTATATATCATTTGATTAAAAAAAAAAAAAAGAAATAAAAAAGAAACGA